TGTGTACATAATTTTGTTCCATCTCATGTACCACATGAGATGATAATGACAATAAAGATTACCCGGTACTTGAACTTGAACTTGGACTACAATATCCATACTTCATGGTTTTTCACTTATCGCGGGGTGGCGTGGTCCCAAACACTTGTGGCAAACAAAGGACTATTGTAATGCAAAACTGGCAGCAATATAAAGGCGTAAAACAATGTTTGCATAAATAACTATACATTTCTTGGGGACTGGAGTTGTTTTAAGATGGTTGCAATCCTTTTTGATCTTGGCAGCACTCTGACTGGCTGTTCATTCCATTTTATGGTCAGAAATAAATTATTTCTTCAAACTGTGGCTGTTCAAAGAGTTAACTACAACAGGTAAGATAAAAATGTGTTTTTATTTTACTCGTACTCCCAGTCCAATACATCTGAAAAGTCCAACTGAAGGCTTAGTTTCTCAATTTTGATGCTTTTTAAGAAAAATGGTGCTGCTGTTACTAACAACAAACTTCTTCACACTCTGAGCCACTGAAAACCTGGTTTGAAATTTCACTTGAGATTATTGTGTATTAAGAGTTACAGAAAATTATTTGTACATAATTAAACTACAACTGCTGACAAATATGACAACTACAATATCTGGTTTTGCTCTCATTAACACAATTGTTTACATCCCCCGTCACAGAGCAAAGTGTGTGTGTGTGTGGGGGGGGGGGGGGGGGGGATTGGAAATACCTTTCATCTGTTCATGCATGTTCTGAGCATGACAACTAGAAAAATAAGTGAGGTACCAACTTCCAATTTGGTGTTTGGCTACATCTAGGCAAAAGTAACGTACTGATCAAAAATTGGGTTGCCAAGTCAAATATAAATAAATAAATAAATATATAAAAGAAAAGGAAAAAAAATATATATATATATATATCCACACCTATAAATTGAGGAAACTATGCTTTCTGTTTTTATATTGATTAAAAGTATAGGTTCTTCAAATAATTGGGGTGGCCAAAGATTAATCAATGGTGGCCAAGGACACCACTGGCCAACCCCTAATTCCGCCGTTGCACCTGGCCAAGCCAATTTTTGTTATTATTATTGTTATTATCTCTATACACAGAGTAATTCCTACCCACTTTAATATCTTGCACAAAAAACATTAAGGTTTACTTGCATTGCCTGTTCATTTCCAGTCCAGAAAAACACTCATCACAAATACTACAACCATTCACTATTCAAATCCCTCAGTGATGGAGAACATCAGAGTTTGTTACAAAATTGATATTCTGACAATAATTACAAAAAGACATTCATATAAACCCAACCAGTTCTTATTTGGCCTCATTACAGAGTTAATAAAAGTAAGAAGCTCAAGCTTCTTTGCAGCTCTGCTGGGAATCAAGCTACTGTCAGCCAGGCCCAGAAACCTACTTCTGCCGACGGCTCAGTGACTGACGCTGCTCAGCTAACACAAGAAACCCACACACAATTAAAAGAAAAATCCATACACACGTGCATGCACCTGCACACACACAAACTTTACCTTTGAGGCATCCTAATTCTACTACTGTACACCTTCATTACAATCATGACAATCTAAAATGTATATTTAAGAGCTGCTGATGCAGTATGCAGTCACTCTACAAAGATAATTTTTAAATAAACAGTAAGTTTATTCTTGCTTTTCTTTTTCAATATAGATGCTTTCTAAATTATTTCTTGTTCCAAAAAATTATTCATAGAATCAAGTTCTGGAACAGTTTCCTGTCCAGTTTCTAAACCAATAATTTATCTTTAAATTCATCTTTAAGAATGAAAAACTCCAACTTACAGCAATGCACACACACAAAACAAAACAAAAAATCAGAGGGGAAAAAATGAGACATTGATTCTGCTCTGACCCCGGTCCCACCAATTTGGCAATGAGCGTGTTACCGTGCCCACTGGTCCAAATCGATACTATTTTCAAAAATAGCATCACCACAACACTCATACTTCTGGTGACAGAGGGATGAACTTGCCAACAGCAGCATTTATTGTGCAGTCTCCAGTAAAACTGTTATGTAAAAGTGAGAGTTTAATCCCTAACAGAAGGTTTTGCCAGGAAAACCTGATCGGGTGATTTAAACGTCTGGAATCTAATAAAGTCAGTTTCCAGCTGAGTCAACAACAGATCATTAAATAGACAGAGATTAATTAACAGGTTATATGAAGGTGAATCTTTACAGCTGAGACTGATGGTGAAAAGGGTTGCCAAAAATGGCATGAAATGCTCCTGGAGCAAAGAGCAAATTCATGAGCATGAGTCACAAATTGGTCATTTGGAACATGAATACATGCTGTACAACACATAATGACAGAATGCACCAGATGTCCTGCACAATCTGTTTCAAAAATAACGAAGGCACTATTTTTGCTATCAGGAGAAGTGTAACACTATGTCACTACAATGGCTTCACATAGTACAGACAGATAAGATGATGAAAAAGACGGTACTTCATCTAGCAACCTAACAGTCACAAATGGCGTGCCACAAGTATCAGTTTTAGGTCCCACACTTTTATCAATTTATATAAACAATGTAGGTCAAAAATATTCCTGATTCTGATTCTCTCTGACCTGATTCCTTTGCATCTCTATACCGACGACACTGTTGTTTATTGCCGATCTAACACAGTTGCCAAGGTTTTCCAGCTTCTACAGTCTGCATGTGATATCATTCAGTCAGACTTATTCCATCTCAAGCTGGTGCTATAATGCTGATAAAACCAAAGGATGTTGTTTTCCAACAGAAAGTCAGTGCCATCAACTCTTTCTCCTATCTCATCCATGCATGGTGTTCCTATTGTTTGTCGATTCTTACAAATACTTGGGAATTTTGGTCGATGCACATCTCTCTTTTAAACCACACATAAAAAAACTTGATAAAGAAACTGAAATTAAAATTAGGTTTCTTTTTTATAAATAGATCTTGCTTAACTCTGAATGCCAGAAAACACCTTGTAACCGCTACTTTCCTACTGGCCATTGGTTATGGTGACATTTGCATGAATGCTCCTGCCAGCTGCTTGCAGATGTTGGATGCTGTCTATCATGGCGCGCTAAGATTCATAACTGGTTGTAACTACTGTACCCCTCACTGCACTCTGTACTCATCATTATCTGCATGTAGGCTCTCACATTGGTTCATTTTCATCTATAAATCCCTCCTTGGTCTGTCTGGAACACGTCTCTCTTGTAAATGAGTCCTCGTGGCCCAATGAGACTAGCCTGTATAAATCAAAGTTGAATGAAAAAAAGAAAAAAAAGGTGAAAGGAGAAGGGGACATGAAAGCAAACGGGGGAAAAACACAGTGCAAGATAAAACTCTGACATGCTGCCACATCCTTTGCTTAAAAATATAACACAATCTACTACATGTGCCTGAGAGAAGGCTCGTCTGATGTGACTCAGCTGCTACACAAACCCAGGTCTGTGCCACACACTACAGCATCTCATTCTGACAGTACAGAGATAAAAATGTGCATCGTAGGAGCTGGAGAGGTGGGCGGACCTCTGAGGAAAATGTGATTTGTTTTTGTGTTCTGAGGCCGGTGCACGGCGCAGCAGCATGGGCGAGACTCCATTCATAAATTGATTTCAACTTTTGCCTTTTCGTGACCCCTTTAAGTCTCTGCATCACTCTTTTCACAGCTCTGGCTGTGAACAAAGATGCAAATATTTATGAAGGTCAGAAAAGGAAAAAAATATTAAAGAATGCTGATTCAATATTTACACATTTTAAGCCTTTGGTTTCCCTCTAAGAAAAATAAGACAACAAAATTGTTATTAGCCCTATAAGATTCTGAGTAAAAAAAATGACCAAAAAATAATTATTTCCCTTATTTATGATTTCATTATTTTTAGTACAAGCTAACCTAGCAAGCTAAGCCTTGCCAGACACATTTGGTGTTATTTATTATTATAAAAAGTTAAAGCACAAGGAACACAAGGAGTATTTTCAAAAAAGGCTCTATGTTCCACATCAAGCTGATTCATAAAGATTGTGTGCCAAAAAAAATAATCAAAACACTAGAAGAGTAAATATCGTTATCATTAGTCTATAAGCAAAATAAAATCCTAGACTTGTATGATACATTTTCGAGAGAGACTTTATGTGAGTTTTCTTTTTATTCTCATCATCTAATCAAACCCATTCATCTGTGAACAGTGCTAAAATTTCTCACCAGTTTGCCTTCAAGCGTGTAAATCTTCTTCACCACCCCAGAGTCCAGCTTGATGGCATCGGTGATGTCGGTAAGGACCTGTTCGTAGGAGTGGGCTGTTTTCTTGTTCAGCAGGATCCTCACAGCTTTACGAGGCTTCACTCCACTCCGCACCACTGTCACGAGCTTTGGACGGATGAAGTTCTTGATTTCGCGTCCCTCCAGGGCACCGGGCTTGGTGCTGTTCAGGGTCAGAGGGCTTCGGGATGAGGCCTTGACATTCACCGACCAGTTGGGGTTCGCGTTTTTTGTGTAATCCAGCTTTTTGAATGCTTCGATTGAGCTGCAGATGTAGCTTTCGCCTATTAGAAGATAGTAGAGGAGTCAAAACCAAAGGAAGGGTTACAGAGAAACATTTAGAATAGCAAATATTAGGACTTAAGACTTTGCATGATGTAATGACACAGGAATGAACTGTAATACCAATCAAGACAAAGCTAATCTACGTTGAAACAAAAGATTCATCTGCTTGCCCATATGGCCAGTAGCTGGTCATATGGGCATCTACAAATGGAATTGAGTGTTTTTATCCAACAATGGTCCTAAAACTCCTCAGTTGGGACTGCCAGCTTTATTGTCTTGTCAACTGTTTGAATGACAAGCTCTCTCTCTCTCTATCACTCTCCACAATTCTTCTTGATCCCCAATATTTAATCTTGACAGTTGCCTTACTCAATCTTTCTCTTGTCTTTTGCAGTTAGCAGCAGATTTAAGCTTGTATTTCCACCTAAACATCTTCTTCAACATCCTATGCTTGTCCAATTCCACCATATTTGTATACTCACAAAGACAACCAGCCTGATGTGGGTAGCTCATGCTTTTATTTGGTTTACGGAGGATTCAGTTGTGTGCTTCATTGAACGAAGTGCATAATCGCATCTAAAAAATACTGGAGGTAACTTTCAAATTTCACCATCCTGCACCACTCACCAGATTTTAGATTTGATTTTGTAGTTTGCAATGACCACCTCAATAGCCAAGGACTGTAGGTTATAAAGTTTCTACCATATACCTACAGGAGAGGGGCAGAGGTACCAGTGTCTGAGATCACTAGTTCACATTTATAAGGATTGAGCCTATAACTGTCCTAAAAACTTCCAAAAGGCAAAACATTTTTGTTGCAGCCTTGCTGTTTAAATTACCTTCCACCAGCTGATCAATGCTGGTGATCTTCTTGGAACCATCCAGGGTGTAGATGGTTCGGACCCCCTGGGGCAAGTTGACGTTGTCGGACAGTGAGCGGGTCAGGTCCGCCAGCAGGGCGTCGAAGGTCCGGAACCTGTCCGCGGAGACAGCGTACACGATCCCGTTGAAGTACCGGTCCCCGTTGCGGTAGAACCGGACCTTCTTGGCCCTCTTCTCCGCGGTCAGGGTCTTCAGGGTCCGGATCCGATAAAGACTGCAGTGGGCGCTGTGCGTGGGACTTGGCACCCCGTTCACTTTGGCGTTGGAGCGGCCGTGCCTCTGACCTTTGTCCCGCTCATCGAAATGTTCCATCTCCATGGTGATGTCGCTGCCGAGGCTCACGAGGACAGCTGTGCTGTCTGCCGGAGACAACAAACAAAAGCAGGGACGGTGAAAAGTTTGGTCAACAAAAACTAAGAGGAGTGAACCGAGTCAGGGGAGGCTGATGAAGTAGCCAGCCGGTGTCTGAGGCTGGAGCGCCGTCTTAAAATAACCCCCTAATGACAGATTAAATGCTGATAAGCCGGGAGGTGGACTGTAGCTCCGTGCGCGTCGTGACGCGCAGGGCGCGCCGGTTTGGAGCGCAGATGGATGAGGAGGAGCGACAGTCACGAACTCATCTAACCTGATCACTGAAGCCATTATCGATGAGAAGATGCATCAACCCTCGCCCAAATATCTCACTAATCCCACAGTATTCATCATTACACATTCTTTACAAAACAATTACTTAGAAATCTTACCAGTAAAGTATCATTTAAGTCTAAGATCCATCAGTTTCACATGAGATGATGCGTGACAGGCTTACCCACGCGAGCCATCAACGCCTCTGTGACAGTCACCTCCAGCTTGAACTGATGTGTTTCCAGATGTGGAAGAAAGCAGAAGTTCACTGAGCTTGTCGCAGTTCAGATGATCTGTGTCCTGCAGTCAGAGCCCCGTCCTCTCTGTGCGTCCCTTTGTTGTCCAATTACTCCACCACCAAACACCAAGCTGTGTGTGTAATCAAGAGGCAGTGGCTGGACTGGAAATTGACTGGGTAGCAGCTGCTTTACCCTCCCATCCTCCTCCTCCTCCTCCTCCACGTCACTCTCGTGATTTTTCATTCAGCACCCCTCATTATGAATGCAAACCCACGCTTCACGCTCGTGCTTCAGGGGGGATGGTGCTGATGATGCTGCCTACTGGTTCTGCACCCTCCCAGCCCCGAGGACACGAGCCAGCTGACACGCGCGCACGCCCCCCACAAACAGACATTTTTACTGAGGTAAAACCTACAAAGCCTTTGAGCTTGTGTAAAGGGACAGTTCAGATGTTTAGTGCTGTTCCGTGGGAAGTTTAGGTAAGGGTCTCAGTTTGGATGGATGATTTCTTAAAACAACTTGTCTAAAAAAAAAAAATCACAAGGTTTCATATAACCACTGTTTTATAACCATCACAATCAAGTATGGCTGTTGTTTTATGTAGCTACACAAACCCAAATGTGCAAAAAATATGATTGTGTGTATTAATGTCCAACACAAAGATCCATAGTTTCTCAAAACTGCAGATTGCTGAGAGATAAAGAGGACATGTGTCTTCTAGCATATTTCTTCCTATATTTGCTGACACAATGTCCTTAAATACGCTCTCCGAGCACGATGAGATAACTGACCCACATCTTGGCCCCCTAAGACGACCACTTTCACAATGTCCTTGATCCCTGATCAGCAGCTCATAATTTTTCTGTGCAACTGATGGTGAAAGTTTCAGCCCGTCTTATGTTTAAAAACCTATTACAGATGATCTCAGCATTAAAAAGTTTACAGAAAATCTCTCACTTCTCTTTATAAGTTCATACAGCAAGTCACCAAGCATTCATTTATTTTCAAGAACACTGTAGGTGATTAGGTTTATGGCAGCTTTTATGCCATTATGTTTAAATGCATCATGGGTTTTTTTCTGCTCCCCACACAGAGTTTTCTATTTGGGGACACACAGGGACTGAGCGCCACAAACTGAGGGCTGACAAGGTGCTCCAGTCTAAATTAATCCTGAAGAAGCAGGACACATATGGAGGAGACTGTCCTAAAATGAGGGCCAAAGACGTGGAAGACAAGGACAGGGTGTGATAATCTTTGTGTTACTATGTAATGAAGAATTTTAACGTCAAATCAGGTATTTTTACGTGTGCATGAGAGCACACATGCTCGTCAAACATCTTAACCAATTTTTCCAGAGTTAAAAAAGGTAAAAAAATAAATAAAAAATAAATTTGTGTTTTAGAAAATGCATTCATACTAATGAAATAAGATAATTTCTTAGATTTGTCATCCAAATAATTTATTTTATGAGGTTTTGATCCATTTCTCTCAAAGAAAAACTCAGAAATTATGTTTGAATCGGTGTCTTTTGGCTTTTTCCTCTTCAGAGGGCTCTACAGTGAGTCATCCTCCTCCATCTCTGTCCTCTGCATCCTCTGTCCTCACTCCAGCTACCTCCATGTCCTCTCTAACTGCATCCATATATCTCCCCTGTCTTTTTCCTGGCAGCTGCATTTCTAAAATCCTTCTACCAGTATACCCACTGTCCCTTCGCTGGACATGTCCAAACCATCTCAGTCTGTTCTCTCTAACTTTATCTCCCGGTTGTTCAACCTGTGCTGTACCTCTGATGACCTCATTCCTAATCTTATCCATCCTTGTCACTCCTAAGGAGAACCTGAACATCTTCATTTCTGCTACTTCCAGTTCTTTCTCCCGTCTTTTTGTCACGGTCTCCAGACCATATTACACATGGTCTTACAACTGTCTTGTAAACTTTTCTTTGACCTTTGCTGCACTTGTGTCCAATCGCACCTGAAACTTTTCTCCATCCACTTCATCCTGTCTTGACTCTCTTTTTCACATCTTCACCACACTCCCCATTGTCCTGGACAGTGGACACCAAGTACTTGAAGTCCTGCACCTTTGTGCCCTCTGCTCCTTGTACAGCGTCACTGTTCCACTGGCCTCCCTCTCATTCACACAAGTACTCTGTCCTACTACGGCTGACTTTTATTCCTCTTCTTTCAAATGCAAACGTCCACCTCTCCAAGTTCTCTTCCACCTGTTCCCTGCAATGTCATCTGCAAACATCATAGTTTATGGGGATTTCTGCATGACCGCATGTGTTAGTTTGACGCAGTATCATTCCTTAAAATAATACCCATTTCTACTCCGAGTCTTGGATGCTGAAAATACTAGTAAAATACTAATTTAGCGTACTACACCTCTCTAATGCAAAGCTTCAGCTCAGACCAGCAAATTGTTGGATTTATTTGATTTGAAAAGGAAAACAAAGCAGACATATATTCTTACACAAACTGTCAACTGATGCTTTGTTTGTTGTCATGAATGTTGTTCATGTTACATCTTTAAGACCCCACAACACAGTGTGCCATGTCTATAAGAAAACTGGTGCAAAGGGCTAATAATAAAATTCACATTTGAATACTTGCAAAGAAGTCTCAGTGTTCTCAGTGTTGCTTCTGTGCTCTTTTTCTTGTAGGCTCGACATTATACGGTTTGCAGCTGTCACGTGTTAAGCATAGAAAAGCTAATTCCTTATATTTCATGGTTACTGCAGTGGTTTGTGGTTGTGTTTCACCTTCAGAAAAAAAAAACCTTTGTGGTTACTTCAGGGCTGAATGGTTTATAGACAGAAACCAGCTGCATTAAATAAAGCTTGTCCATGAAATAGAAAAAGGGCAAGTTGTGTGCTCACCTTGTCAAAGGTACAGGGCAATGCTATCTTCAAATTAGGCCATTAATCTAAGACAAACCCATTCAGGATTGTACATATCAATCATATCAAAACATTGAATAACAAATTCCCTTCCCTATAGGAGAATAGCAGGGTATAAACTTTGAATTTTTAGTCTTACAGAAATATTTTGAGTTTGTTCACTCAATGAACCAAAAATCAATAATGCTGGAAGAACCGTCCAACAGAGAACTTGACGTTCAACTCAGAATACTGTGGCACAGATTAAATATTTATGAATTTACTGTATATTTCAACATTGACATGTTCTAAAACATGTAATCTTCACACAAGTTCAAAAAGTTGACAACAGAAGCTCAAATGAACAAATCAGAAGAAAAAAATCTCATTATTTATTAACAACAAAGTCCATGCTTAATAATCCAGGTACACAATCCAACATTTTTCAGTCAGGGCATCTGGACAGCATGGACTTTGTTGTTTTGAACCAGTTTGACATGACTGTCGATGAGAAAGAGGGCCGGCAATGGAGGAGGGGGCATGCCAAAGAGACCATCTTAGCACCAACATAACTGGTTTGTTCCACTTTGGAGTAAGCTGTTGGGGGAAGAATCAGTTTTGTGTTGTGTGTTTCCTTGACTGATGAAGCCTTCCGGATCGAAGGTGAAACATTTCAGCACAAAAAAAAAAGAAACTGTCGAGATGACTCGACTGAAAAATGTTGGACTCATTATTTATTGATGGAGATTTTCAATAATACACGAGAAACAAAAGTAAAAGCTTTAAGAATGTATGTTAATCTGAAAGTGAATTTAGAGTCAGATGTTAGGATTATTTAGTCATCCTGTTAACATCATTGAGATGAAAATCAAGTGAGTGTAAGTCATGCATTATCTAAAGAATGGCGAATTATTAAAGTCTGATATTTACATATTTGCACAAGGCCAGTATGGCATAAACAACAAATGCACACATAAACAACAGAGATCTTTGAGAACTTGGGACACATAGTTGCAGTATTAATCCTCTTTAGGCAAGAAAATGCTACACAAAGTGTTTGGAATCTGTAGTGTTTTTAGTCAGGCAGATTGTACAAGCATCCAGAGCAAATTCAAGTCCAAAGATCACTCAGAGCAAGGAGTGCAACAATCTGAAAACCTTGGAATCATTTGCTAGCAGCTAAAACCATCATCTATAATGGTTGAATTTAATGCTAATGAGTCTGACGGCCACAAGCAGAACACTAAACAAAAACTGTGACTGAGCTCTAATGAGACTCTGCTCTCCGAAAGAAAAAACAAACATTGTTCATCCATTTGCAGTTTGCTATAATCACTCAAAGTCTGCGAAATATATTGCCAATGTAAAAGATGAAAATTATTTGGCACATATAGGATGTTTTCTCTTCGGGGTCAAAGAGACAATACTTAAAATATATGGAAGAACTGTGTTTTATGCATGAAAATGTAAATAAAAGGTCTAACTAAATGGAATAAAACAAAACAATTTTTCTTTTTTTAGTTTTAGGATTAGGTCTGCCAGCAAGGCTGTCAAGAACTGAAGCAATGCTCGACTTTCTTCACAGACGCTGAACTGGTGTTTTTGGCAGTTTTTCAGATCACAGCTTCATCTCATACTAGTTTTCTTACACCCACATGTATAAAGATGGTCAGTGGGAAGAACGGGGGTGCTCTGTGGTTGAACCACACTTCGATTGGTGGATGCTGTGCTGCTAACGTAATACATGTCGTAGGAGGCGCTGTAAAAAATTTAAAAAAGACGTAGCAGCACGAGAAATGTCAAACTTAGCAGGCATCAGACACATTAGCAGCTAACCTCGCCGCACATTAAACTACAATAACCACATTTTAATGGTCACACTTATGATACAATTTTAACAAATGGGCAAATAAGCGAGAATATTGTAGTAGTGTATTTGACATACAATGTGACAGATATCTAAATAGACTGAATTGTTTGCGTTATACTGTGATCAGCCATTGAGAATTGTGAACAAAAGAATAATAGAGCAGAAAAACACGTAATCCAACAACTTTGCCCTTTTCTTTCAAAGATGTTTCTCGTACTGCTTAAGAGTAGGTAACCTGCTTTCTTTTTGGAATTTCCTCTCCACTCTTCTCTCGGTTGATGAATCACCCCCACCTCCTCCTCCTCTTCCTCCTTCATTCACACACTTTCCTAATCCTTCTTCTCCTTCTTTTGTTTTGTTAGCGTCAACCTGTATCTTTCGACAGGTCTGCTTCCCTCTATGTGTCAAAAGAAAACAGAGAAATAATGGAGTATGAATGAACACTTGATATCACTAGAAAAATCACTAGAAAAAATACAAATGCTTATCTATTTGTTAGTTTCATAGTTTATTTCTCTGCATTTTCTAATACATAAAACCCTTTGAATAGAGTTAGATCTGTTTGCAGGTTTAGATTCGGTCATCCAGGACAAAAAAAATCAAGGAAAAACAACTGAACCTCTGTTTCTGTAGCTTCGCTTCTCATCCATGAAGCTTTCTGACCTTCGTTTTGAACTGAGAAAGCTCTCTGGATGGAAAGCAAAATGTTGAACTATAGAATAGAAGTTCAGTTGTTGTTTTTTTTTTTTTTGTTTGTTTGTTTTTAATATTTGATTCTTAAAGAGCTTTGACAGGAATCAATTTCCACAATAACTCATAAACATGTTCTTTCACAGTGTGGTCAGTAGCCCACAGTTGCAAAAGAGAAACATCTCGTTCAAACCATCAAGTGTGTTTCATTCCTGCATCAACAGAGAGCTAGAGAAATAGCATTTCCTGTGAAAATGCAGAGTGAATGTTTATTGTGGAAGCACTTGCTGAAAAACAGCTCAAATTAGCTTAATGACATGCTGAATTGTAGCTGAAATGAAAGAACAAGCTGTAATTACATGTGTGTGTCTGTGTACATAGTTTCGTCCCACATCATTTACCACATGTGGTGTATCTTTGACTCCAACTTAATTAGCAGAAGAAAGCAGAAAGAAAACATATTTGCTGAACTAGGTAAAAATTAGCACAAAATTAGCACAAAAATTAAGAAATTAGCTTAAAAAAGCTGAAACGTAGTTGAAAAGGCAGATAAAAGCTTTAATTACCAGAAGGAAGTGGAAAGAGCTGAAAAGCTAAAAAAATAAAAAATAAAAAATAAAAAAGTGGAAATAGCTGAAAAGTTTAAAATTAGCATAAAAACTGCTAAAGAGTAGCTGAAATAGCAGAAAAAGCTGAAACTAGCAGATAAAAGCCGAAAGGAGCATAACAAGCTGAACTTATCATAAAGGAGTTAATTAAGCTGAAAGTAGCAGAAATTACCATGAAAAACTTGAATAAATCTGAAAACTGTTGAAATTAGCTAATAAAAAAAAAAGCTAAAAACCTAGCTGAAAATGTACACTAAGCTTAAATAAGTAGAAGAAAGCAGAAAGAACACGTTTGCCCAATTAAGCTGAAAAAAACAGAAATGAGCACAAAAAGGAGAAAGTAACTGAAAAAAGGTGAAATTGACAAAAAAAGAGAGAAAAAAAAAAACAGCTGAAAAGTAGCTAAAAAGCTGAAAGAAGCTTAAATTACCAGAAGTAAGTTGAGAGCACATTTTTGCTGAATTAGGTGCAAAAATGTGGAATTAGCAGAAAAAGATAAAATTAGCATAAAACAGTGAAATAGTAGCTGAAATAGCAGAAAAAGCTTAAACTTGCAAACATAAGCTAAAAGGAGCATAACAAGCTGAAATTAGCTGAAAGAAGTTAGAAGAAGCACAAAAATGTTTTAATTAGAAGAAAGAATATGAAAGGAAACTAAAACAGCTGAAATTAGCTGAAAGTAGCTGAAAAATATTTAAATTTGCACAAGGAAGCTGAAATAAGCTGAACCAGAACAAAATGTGAAAGGAGCAGTAAAAGGTTGTAAACAGATCTCAAGGTTTGAAGGATGTAAAATGAACTCAATTCATTTTCTATGAGGGAAAAAAAATGGCAGAAAAGGCTAAATATTTCAAAAAGCTAAAGTTGCACCAATCCCAAAAATCATAGCAGGATTGTCCTGAAAGAACTGAACGCTTTGATACATGATTAGTTGAAATAGCACAAAACTGTGGGAAGAGAATTGTGCCGAAAAACGTACGGAAGAAAAATGGATCACAATACTGTGCATGCTTCATAAACATTCACACAATAAAACATATTTTATTCACCTGGTGTTCTGGAATACTACAGCATTGGTCAGTGGCCTAAATTATTTTAAAACTACTGACTGTGTGGTCACAAAAATGCAGCTCGTCATTGCACATTTCATATTTTGTTCTGTAGTCGTGTTGTGGCTCACAAACCTGATCTGTTTGCTCCCTGGCGCTCTCTGTCGATGACTGGAATATTGACTTCTTTGAGTCTCGTTGGTGGAAGACAGCTGACATGGCATTTAAAAGCAAAACATATTAAGAATGTATCATTTACAAATCTTACATAAGATTTATTATTTCCCACCAGGAAGAAAAATGCTGAAATATGCTAATTCAAATCTAAGAAATTGTCTGTAAAATAAGACAGAATAAAAGTTTAAGGTCTGCTTGAATTAGTTTTGAAACAACATAAACATATTTTTTAAGACCCCATTATTGTGTAACAGGAGAATGAATGAGAAATCATGCCAAGGCCTGTTGAAGAGCCATAGTGTTGTCTTTACATTATCAATTTGCAGGTCTGATTTTGCACACATATACTGTTTTGTAATTGGACTGAGTGAGAAGCATCTGTGAATGCTCACCTTAACAATTTCTGTGAGATATGCCCGCCTCTCATCGTTGGTCTTATGGAACGCCTGATGAATAAAAGAAATAGAAAACCCAGATCTCACTTGTTTGCATCCATCAAACTTGTCGTATTTATCCTTTGATAAATGCAAAGCTTGGTATTTGTTTGGTGTGAATTCAAGAAGCCATTAGTGTTAATTAGGCAAGAGATTAGGGATTACTGGTTGCACATACTGTGGGGGTAAACCTTTATTTAACTAATATCTCCCAGTCTGCTGAGCAGAACAATAAACAAAGAACCAAATCACTACAAGCATGCTTGCACCCGGCAACATGAAGATTAAGAACAGTTTTTGCAACAATGCTTAAAAACTAAAGAATGTACAACAAAACTTTTAGCAAAATCTTTTATAATCCATAGTTAATTATGCTATTTTTTGCTACTAATATAACTATTCCTTTTTTGAAGGTGGGTAGGGAGGGGGATGGATCTACTTCTCTAACATTCTGTGACCTTTACATATGTAGTTTCCTCACTGCATAAAGACAAAGCTGGGACTCAAACCTTTCCCTCCTGCTCGATTTGTAGGTGACAGTCCATTAGTTGACTCTGGAGGTCAGACCTCTCCTCAGTCAGGAGCTTTAAATGTTGTTTAAGTGTTTCCTGTAGCAAATAGATGTTATTATTTACAAAATACCATGTCAGAGTGTCATTCTGCTTGAGAGTAATTAAATGCTAATTTGTATTACATTGTGCAATATAAAAGGATTAGGGAGTAAGTGGACATTTACATTTAATGCTGAAAACAGGAATACAAAAGCAGATTAGACTCAAATTATTCACCAACTACATGAACACATAAGTGCTTTGACGTGTTGAGGCTATGTAAGACAGCACAGAGCAGACTAATAAAACGGTGATTTTGGGAGGGTTTGGAGTAGTCTTCTTCTTGTTGTTCTTGTGTCATTTATTGATAATATATATGCCTGTCGCATACGCACACGCACTGTTTGTCTGCACACCTCAAAGTCACTTCTTACATAGACTAATGAGCATCTGTTAGCTCTGCACAAACACTTTTATACTTTATTGTGCAACACTTCAATGTTGTACATAGAGTATTTGTGTGTATGTGTGTTAAAGCATTCTAATTAGTGTGCATTACTCTCTCATGGTTCATAATCCTGTGATTACAGTGGTGTGATTAAACTCTGGTTTGTACAGCCCAGAATGGCTGGTAGCACAATCCTTTCAGTTGTTGTGTCTCTATAGCTCCCCCTGCTGGTGTGTGTGTGCTTCTGTTTTCCTCCTTTAAAAAATGGCAAAAAAAATGGAAGTAATGTACAAATAAATAAATCAAGGAAGCTTAAAAAATATTAAAACATATGTACTTACAACTGCCATGTCATCATACATTCGGATAAAAGCCAGTCGATCTGTTAGAAAAACAAGGAACAGTGAGAAATGTGATTTAATTACAAACAAAAAAAGCTTGAAAAGATCTTAAAATATGGCTATGTTGTTTTTTCTTTCAAATTAAAATGTTTTCCTCATTAGTACAGGTGAAATAAAAGTGTTTAAGGATTTTGAAGGAGCCTAGAATAACATTAAATACTGCAATGACTTATTGCGGAGCATGTGCATTATGTGTGAGTATATACACAGACCGACCTACCTACCTACCTACCTACATACCTACATACATACCTACATACATACATACCAACATACATACCTACATACATACATACCTACCTACCTACCTACCTACCTGCATACCTGCATACATGCATACATGCATGCATACATGCATACACACATACATGCATACATACATACCTACATATATATATATATATATATATATGTATACAGTGAGGAAAATAAGTATTTGAACACCCTGCGACTTTGCAAGTTCTCCCACTTAGAAATCATGGAGGGGTCTGAATTTTTTATCTTAGGTGCATGTCCACTGTGAGAGACATAATCTAAAAGAAAAATCCGGAAATCACAATGTATGATTTTTAAATAATTTATTTGTGTGTTACTGCTGCAAATAAGTATTTGAACACCTGCCAATCAGCAACAGTTCTGGCCCTCAAAGACCTGTTAGTCCTCCTCTATAACGTCCACCTCCACTCCACTTATTATTCTAAATTAGAAGCACCTGTTTGAGGTCGGTAGCTGCATAAAGACACCTGTCCACCCCACACAATCAGTAAGACTCCAACTACTAACATGGCTAAGACCAAAGAGCTGTCCAAAGACACCAGAGACAAAATTGTAGACCTCCACAAGGCTGGAAAGGGCTACGGGGCAATTGCCAAGCAGCTTGGTGAAAAAAGATCAACTGTTGGAGCAATTATTAGAAAATGGAAGAATCTAAACATGACTGTCGATCTCCCTCGGACTGGGGCTCCATGCAAGATCTCACCTCGTGGTGTATCGATGATCCTAAGAAAGGTGAGGAATCAGCCCAGAACTACACGGGAGGAGCTGGTCAATGACCTGAAGAGAGCTGGCACCACTGTTTCCAAGGTTACTGTGGGTAATAAACTAAGACGTCATAGTTTAAAATCATGCATGGCACGGAAGGTTCCCCTGGTTAAATCAGCACACGTCCAGGCCCGTCTTAAGTTTGTCCATGACCATTTGAATGATCCAGAGGAGTCATGGGAGAAAGTTCTGTGGTCAGATGAGACAAAAATAGAACTTTTTGGTCTGAATTCCACTCGCTGTGTTTGGAGGACGAAGAATGATGAGTACCATCCCAAAAACACCATCCCTACTGTGAAGCATGGGGGTGGAAGCATCATGCTTTGGGGGTGTTTTTCTGCACAAGAGACAGGACGACTGCACTGTATTAAGGAGAGGATGACCGGGGCCATGTAGTGAGAGATTTTGGGGAACAACCTCCTCCCCTCAGTTAGAGCATTGAAGATGAGTCATGGCTGGGTCTTCCAACATGACAATGACCCAAAGCACACAGCCAGGAGAACCAAGGAGTGGCTCCGTAAGAAGCATTTCAAGGTTCTGGAGTGGCCTAACCAGTCTCCAGACCTAAACCCTATAGAAAATATTTGGAGGGAGCTCAAACTCTGTTTCTCAGTGACAGCCTAGAAACCTGGTTGATCTAGAGAAGATGTGTGTGGAGGAATGGCCCAAAATCTCTGCTGCAGTGTGTGCACACCTGGTGAAACACTACAGGGAACCTTTGACCTCTGTCACTGCAAACAAAGATACTGTACCAAATATTAACATTAATTTTCACAGGTGTTCAAATACTTATTTTCAGCAGTAACACACAAATTATTAAAAAATCATACATTGTGATTTCCGGATTTTTTTTTTTAGATTATGCCTCTCACAGTGGACATGCACCCGAGATGAAAGATTCAGACCCCTCCGTGATTTGAAAGTGGGAGAACGTGCAAAGTCGCAGGGTGTTCAAATACTTATTTTCCTCACTATATATATATATATAT